ATTGAATAGATATCAAATAGTATATATCATACACTTATTGCGGGGCATCGGTATACTCATGGCCTGGAATATGTTGATTAACGCACACGGAGTATGTCATGCCTTCACATACCTGTCCACTAGTTTTAATTAGCATTTATTTTATATATTTCCAGTATTTTATTGATTATAAATTGTCTGCAAATGTCACCTCCGATGAAGTGAACTCCCGACTCGACGACTACCGGACCAACTTCTCCTCATACATGGGTATCGCCTCTAAACTACCCGCCCTTTTGGTGATATTCCTACACATGTTTGCCACAGAATCGTATGTTTGGCACAAATTATTCCTAAAAAACACGTTTTAATTGATTATAATGATCTTAAACCCAAGAATCTGTGGATCACTGTCGACAAGAATCTCTGTCTCGCTGTTCATACAGATAATGGTATTCATAGTCATCGTAATCATGGCTTTAATAGACACGCAATCAATACCGGAGACATTTTTCTTCGTCACAATCGCGCTGACAGTGGTGTTGAACGCGGCTAACGGTGTCTACCAGTCCTGTGCCTACGGGTCCTCAGCGTTGATGCCGATGTCGTACACCAATGCCATCACTATTGGCATTAATTTCAGTGGTGTTGTCGTATCCCTGGCCAACATCGCCTCCATTGCCATCGCACCCGACCCTAAAACCATGGCTTTCCTATATTTCTCATTAGCCGTGATTACACTAATTGTTTGTTTAGTTAACGAAATATATCTTAACTTTAATGTAAGAGTTTTACCACTTATTTGAGATATTAATTACAAAATATTGGTTTGTTTTACAGGAATTTTATAATTATTATAAAGATTCCGGTGAAGTGGGTGGTAATAACCCTGATGACAAAACTGTTTTAAATGCTAATAGTGTGTCAAACAATAAATTCATGCATATATTGAGCCAAAAGTGGACCGAATTATTGGATATTTTGTTAATATTTTTTGTAAACTACTCGATATACCCGTCGATTATGACAAACATCGAGCCGTCGGACGACGTGTTTGGACAGTCGACTAACGACTACTTTATACCAGTGTTTGTATTCCTGGCCTACAATATATCGGCATTTGTTGGCAATATAACGGCTCAGTATATACCGGTGCCCAGCGCTGAACTCACCATTGCTTTCACAACTAGCGGACTATTATTGATACCGTTTTATCTGTTTTTCAATTATTTGCCAAATGATAGGACATATCCGGTGTTAATACGAAACGATTGGATATATTTAGCGTTCAATTTATTTTTAGGCTATACTGGCGGACACCTGTCGGCCCTCACTATAATGCGTGTCCCCCGAGGCCTACCTAATCAATACTCATCCATAACCGCAATGATGTCTATGTTTAGCCTATTGTTGGGTATATTATTAGGACTCAGTTTCGGTTTACTTTTCCCTCAAATAGTTTAGTTTTATAAGACTTTTAAATACTGACATATACTCTGAACAATAAATATNCCGCAATGATGTCTATGTTTAGCCTATTGTTGGGTATATTATTAGGACTCAGTTTCGGTTTACTTTTCCCTCAAATAGTTTAGTTTTATAAGACTTTTAAATACTGACATATACTCTGAACAATAAACATATATTAACTTAAATGTGGCTAAAATAGACTTAATTACAGAATAATGCAAATTATTAATAAAGAATTATATTCTCATATTTTATGTTTATTTCAAAATTAAAATAATATAATTAAATAATCTCTTATTTCTTTGCCATTGCTTTCATGTGGACAGACATACGCCATAACCCGTTGAACAGGCTGTTTGACAAACGCCTGCTATATGTTTATGAATGAGTTAATAAATTATTTATATTTATTTAAACAAGTTAAAATAAATTTAATTACCCGATGTAGGTAAGGCAGGTTGCGATGATGAACTACATGCTGATATGCAGGCGGCGTACCCTGATGAACATGTAGTTTGACATGGGTTAGATCCAAATAGAGCCTTTATTAAGCTCATAATACTGGCGCTCGAGTGGTCGACACATATCAATAAAATACAAGCAACTATGACCAGGGTTATTCTCATTATTTATGTTAAATATTGTTTATTATACGAGTTTTATACTGGTAGATTTATGAACATTAACAAGTAACATATGAAATTAACTAAAAATATGAAATCTATACTAGTAACTTTTCTATATTATTGTTAACTTTTTGTGAAAAGTCATTTGAAGGGTAATTAATTAAATCACAATAATATTTAATATTTATTTTAGAAAAATATATGGTTTATATATTTTTGTAATTTAACGTATTGCAAAATGATTTTTAAAAAATGTAAAAATAAGTTATTAATAATAACCTTGCATTTTTATCAAATATTTTATACAGTACTATTATTTGATTTGCTACTGTAATTAATATTCAATAAAATTATTATATTTTACAAAACCACATGTATTAAATAATTAATTTTATATGCTTTTCAATGTATTATTATTTTACTAGATAATTGTTATGTCGTAAAACATGACCATGGTTATGTCGTAACTGCTGTAAATTATTGGAAAGTAATTTATTATTTGGTAGAATAGAATAAATTAAGATTTATTAATTTTAAAAAACCTTTAAATATTTATAATATTTTGAAAAATAATGCATATTATTTCTATGTAATTTTATAGTAATTATATGACATTTGATATATCTAGCCTAGTAATATAATATAAGAAACAACATGATAAATTATTACAGACTCATCTCGCAGAACAAAACTTTTTGACCTGATTATCCAAAAATCAAATTAAGAATTAATATAATCAAGTACAGTATTATAAATTGATTTATACATCATACCCTATGCTACTCACATGACATGCACATTAAATATTAATTGCCCGGAATAATCATTATTTACAGAATATCGTAGTTTATTAATTCATATGAATAATACTAATATTGTATTTATATAAAGCATATGGTATAGAAAGCACTCTACTTATTTATATGAAAACTCATGACCAGTAAAATTATTAGATAAATAAATGTGAATAATGTATACAATAGTGAGAATAAAGTTATATTATAATCCGATTATGATGTCAAAATTATATAAATTCATGAATACTTGAATGACTTTTATATTCTCTCCGGAATTAATTCACTGAATGCTAGTTATTATGAATATTATGTGAATTATATCGCTGTGGAAATGGATGTATAGTTATATTAAATAATCCTATTGAACACACAGAATATTCTTTGAATGAGTGGTACATGTAATAAATTTTATATTTAATTAATGGCTTAATACAGTATAAGTAATTTAAAAATAAATAATTATGCCCTCACTTGCTATTCATACAATGCAAACAAAATCATATTTTAAATATATTTTGATTTGAATTCAGCGGATATTTGACTGCAGTTTTATAACTATAAATAGTTGAGTCCTTTGTATGCATTGAGTCTGTAAATAATTGCTAATTATTTTAAAGGGTCATTAAATGTAAGCAGATGTTTCCTAATTTAGAGTTAATTTTATTTAATACGTAATTATTTGGTTTGAGAAGAGAGAGAGAGAGAGAGAGAGAGAGAGAGAGAGATTATAATCAGAATAATAATGTGAAAAAATCATTCGTTTGAGGCTTTTATGTATATTAAAATTTTAATTAATATCTTTAATTAATAAGTTATATATATATATGGCAATAACTTAAATAAAAAATCAAATCATTACAAAATCAACACATATTTTATTACAATATAATAAAATAATTTTTACATTAATTAACAAAATTACTAATTTACAAATTATATTATATATTCACATGCACAATTCAGGTATAATTTTGCATATATTACTTAATTAATAAATAAACTTTTAAATTGGCAGTATTCATTACTTACCATGCTAACACCAATGCGACATTCAGCCTTAATTTCTTCGTGTTGTTGCATATATATTTTAAATTTAGCCTGATCCTTATGATCGAATCCTCCGTAGAAATTACACGCCTTTGATATATTGACACTGGCAAGTAACGTGGTCACTATTAATGTAACAATTAACACCAATCTCATTTTTACAAATAATGTTTTCTGTTTATTACAAAATTATATTTTATTTTCTAATATTCATAGCAAACGAAAGTAATATTTTGGACGCAATGAAGTAACCATGAAGTATTTAATTATTAAACACTGATTAAATAATTTTAAAGTGAACATTTTAAAAATAATTTTATCAATAGATATAAGCAGATGTTTACTAAAGAGATTATGAGATTATAAAATCATTAATTACCAAAATAATAATAATAATAATTTTATTTAATCGAGCACGTGATTCAAAATACAATTGTTAATAAAATTTGTAATTACATAAAAAGTAATTCTCACAAATATTAAAAAATACATAAATCAATTGTTAGAGACAAATACGTTTAACATAATAAAAATTTTAATTAATCTAATTTAAATAAAAAGTTAAATCCATACAAAAAATATTAATAATTTTAACATTATTATCATTTTAATAAAGTATAATATTTATTTAATGCTTAATCAATGTTCAAACAATGTATCGATTAATAAAATATTTAATTATACTAATAAATACGCGCTCACATGGGATATACAAGTTGCCCGTCCAGATTGACACGCAGATAGACATCTGGCTAAATATTAAGCACAGGTAGTTATTGAAAAGTAACTGGTATAAATGTTACAAATTTGTATTGTATAAATAAAACAAATGAGTGGACATATCAATACCATCGGCACAATGTGCAGAACATGATGAATAGCCAGCCTTACACGCCTCCTCACATGTAATGTTAATACCAGACGTTCCTATAGCCAAACTACCGGTGCTCGACTGGTGGACACTGACTAATAAAATAGCCATAGTTATAACTAATGTCACTCTCATCGTTACTATATAAACAAAATTATATTTAATTGAAATACTTTAGAAAGAAATTGTATAAATTTACCAAACTGAGCAAACAAAGCTATTTATACTTTATATTTTAGGTGTAGCGAAATAACTAACAAGTAAGTGTATTTCTAACATAATATGAAATATATTATTTTTATAACAAACAATTAAGTAATTTAATTTTATCACTTTACTACTTGTTTTTCATATATGTTATCAAAAATATTTAATCTTATCAAACGGTATTTATTGTGAATTTGAACAAATCATTAATTGTAAATTTAATAATTTTATACACATTACTTGAAATTTTTTGATAAAATGTAAATTTAAATCCATTAACACAGAGAATTAATAGTATATTAAAAATGTTAAAACTTAAATTTAATAAATCTATAAAAATAGTCGACCACTCGAGCGCCAGTATTATGAGCTTAATAAAGGCTCTATTTGGATCTAACCCATGTCAAACTACATGTTCATCAGGGTACGCCGCCTGCATATCAGCATGTAGTTCATCATCGCAACCTGGCTCATCTACATTGAGTAATTAAACTTATTTTAACTTGTTTAAATAAATATAAATAATTTATTAACTCATTCATTACCATATAGTAAGCGTTTGTCAATCAGCCTGTTCAACGGGTTATGGCGTATGTCTGTCCACATGAAAGCAATGGCAAAGAAATAAGAGATTATAATATATTTAATCTAGTATATATTAGTAATAGTATAATAGTATAATAGTATGTAACTGTAATAGTATAATATATATAATATATATTTAATTATATTATTTTAATTTTGAAATAAACATCAAATATGAGAATATAATTCTTTATTAATAATTTGCATTATTCTGTAATTAAGTCTATTTTAGTTATATTTAAGTTAATATAAATTTATATTTATTGTTCAGAGTATATGTCAGTATTTAAAAGTCTTATAAAACTAAACTATTTGAGGGAAAAGTAAACCGAAACTGAGTCCTAATAATATACCCAACAATAGGCTAAACATAGACATCATTGCGG